TGAGTGGCAGCACTGAATTAGCCTATTAACCAGTGAATGAGAAAACGCAAAACTTTGTCCTATGAAAAATAAATACGTCATGATCCGTCTATCCGTTCTTGTCGAATTTACTCATGATTATAAATGCGCATTATGAGTAATAATTTCTTATAGAATGTATGTGTGTCCATTTGTTAATTTATTTCATTATTGTCTAATATCAAACTACGCGTAACCGGTGTATAGGAAGCTTACTGGTCAATTTTTGTCATTTTCCTTAAGTATACATAAAATATGTCCAAAAAGCTTTATGTCACTTCGATTTCTTTAAGTGGAGCAAAAAGTCGATTTGCCCATTGAAGCCGTTACTCAAAACTTTAATCGGGAAGACTTTCTAGTAGTTACAAGAAGTTTTTTTTCAAAAAATTCAAATTCATTGATTCTATGACCGATTATCGAGTGTTTTAAAAAGTAAAAAAGTCCCGCCCTTTTTAAGCGATGATTTCATAAAACCTTTGGTTTCTTGTTCTAAATAAATTTTAAATCCTCAAAATTCAGTTTTACTTGTTATCCTCTTTAATCTTTTCGGGAATCAGAATTTGTGGCAAGGGTTTAACGTGGGTTCCTGCCTGAAAGGCTTAACCCCACGGCGGCCCAAGCCACTTTTAAGCGTACTACGCCCCCTGGCGAGTTAGACAATCCCCACAGAATAGGGACCTAAACAGCACCAGAGTCCAGAACAGTTTATTGTGTATGGAACAATAAACCCCACTCTGGTGAATGGCGAGGCCTAGCTGCACTCAATTGCTCCATTTTAGCTAGGAACTCGCCAACCACAACCACCACGAGTACTCCCCGAAGGGCCGCACCCAAGCAGTCAGGACTCACAAATTGATCAACTGACTGCTTCCGCCATAAGGCTTCCACTGTGCTGTTGATCAATTACCACCATTACCCGCAGGCATCCGTGACATGTGTTCAAAATAAGTAAAAATAGGTAAAAGGGGAAAACTTATTCGTCATATCCCTTTTCCATTTTTGCATGTATTAATTAATTTACCAGACATTTTCTATCAATCGGCCAAAGGGAAGGCCGTCCGTCAATTCCTTTTTGCATTAATCACTTAACTGAAGTAATAGAGACAGACCGATGTATTTGTTTTACATACGGCGACGATATTTTCATTCTTTTGAACTGTGATCAGTGAGCCACTAACTCAGCTGCATATAAAGTAAATATATTTATTATTGTTTTATTGAGATGACTCCCATGAGCCCTTTAAGTTTTTGTAGATCTTAGCGCGTAACTATATAAGTTCACACAACGAGATTAAAAGCAAATTTAGACTAAATTAAAACAGAAAATAAATTGAAGTTTCATCGCCGTAAATGAAATTCTCCTGAAAATTTCTGCTATTCTTATAAGCAACTCTAAGAAAAGTCTTAGTAGGTTTTGTCCAATTTTCTTACGTAACAACAAGGCTACATTAAATTCGAACGTAAACCAAAAGAACAGTAACTGGCATTTCGCCAACATAAACCTGAATGGGATGGAGAGAATAAACAGAACGCTTCTTATATTCTTGCAAGCCTTTGCAAAGCTTCACATGCGGTGCGAAAACGAAAAAAATTACAAGAACAGAGAAAATGTAGTACTTAAAGGAAAGTACAGAGGAAAGTGTAAATTTAATTTCGAAAATTGTTAATAAACGTTTTTCAAATCCCAAAGCGTAAAACATTTTCTAGTTTCTAGTTATTACGCTGCTTATGTAGTTTTATGGTTGCTTCGGTGTTCCTTTGGCAAAACACGCAGAAAAATACTCAGATGAAGAAAATTTTGCAGAAAAGTGATGGGTACCGAAGATGCGAGATAAGCCAACTAAAACTTTTTCGCAACATTTCACATGTATGCGCTTTTAGTATACAAAGGCTCAACATATTTGTGTATCTCTATATACATATATATATGTATTCGTAAAATTGGCTCTGCCATGTGTGAAAGTGTTTATCAAGAAAAAGAAAGCGCGTGTGTGGAGGTATGTTTATGTGTTTGCATTGTATATTTATTTATATGTTATTCTGCACTGCATACTTGGATGAAACCATGCTGACGTTGCTTGATATCGTCATTCCAATAATATTAAAGCGTTGACATTCGGAGCAAAGTTTTTTCTTTTGCACATAAATCATGTGACTTTGAAAAATTTTTCATCTCTATGAACGTTATTTGAATGCAAGCAGGTATTGTTATCAGAAGTATACGTACATGTATATGAATATAAAGGGTGTCGCAAGGCAACAAATATCAGACATACTCTAATATTAAAGAATTTATATGGCTTCGCATGACTTCACTTCTAATGTTCTAATGTTATCGAGTCAAGTCTGTGTGGCCTCATCAGATCCGTTTTCTATTACTTTTAATGAACATCTGTTTATCCGGGCGGTCTTCCTTCTATTTTCAAGGCCTCGTAACTATTAAGACTAAGTCCACCTTATTTTTTGTACAATTCAGATTTCGAAATAAAAAAAAAAAAAAAATTATATAAGTCTTTTCCAAGCTTGAACTCTGCTCGTTCTGCTACACCTTGTATTTCTGCAATTTTTTCCATAATCATATGAGTATTTCAAACTTTTATATTGAAACGTAATCCCGGATACAATATTGATTTATTCCTTTGAAGGCAAGTAAGTATTTATTATTCTCCAGTGCACGACTAGAGAGAGATTTTCATAACTAACAAGTTAAGGTAGATAGATGTTTATTCATCGCATATTGCATACCTTTCAAAAAATAATTGAATGAAAAATTTCCATAGTCTTGTTAATAATAAGAAAAAGCAAAACGGAAATCCACGTAATATGCGAATAAACTCCTTTCTCATCCTGAGAATAAGTGAATACTTTGCAAATTTACTAAATGTTTTTCATATCAGTAGAAACATGTATCGTAGTCTTGGGGCGTAAAATATTAAATGGAATTTCTTTTTTAACACGATTTCATTGAATCGATCAAAATTATTAAAATTTTTCTTATTATCAGATATGTCGCTTAATATTATACCATGATTGAGCGACGTGGACTTGCTCAAATGTAATTTTTTTTTTTTACACGATTCGGCTTTATAGACATGAAAGTGCAAATCTAAAGTTACATAAAAATTATTTTTTTCAAGAGTTTAGTTTTTCCTAGAATGGAACCACGGTTTGGCAGCTTTTTCAAAACGAATATTTCGTTGAAATTTTCAAATGGCATGAACATTACCTCTTTGAAAACATCGCCTGCATTTTAAAGTACTCACCTGAACAGAAAATGTGAATGGAATGTTCTTTATATAGTTTTGCTTATGAATAACGGGATAATTATTCATTTTCATATTTATTTATTGACGTCAAACTTTTTAGCAAGAGCAAATATCAAATGTAAATCATATTTGCGTACAAAAAAACAAATTGCAAAAAATTGTGAAGGGTGAAGGGTGAAGGGAAGAGGCCAAAGGTAACCAGATACCATTTGTCATGTTCTTTAGTTAGCCCAACTCTTGAATGCTCGCCGATAGTTTGGCTTTCTAGAGTTATAGATGCCATGTTGATCTCTGGGAGTCTGTTCAACGGGACCGCTCGATGTTCGTTTTGCGAAGGTTTGGGATGGGATCCTGCCCTATCTCTTCCACCGCATAATAATAGATTGCAGCTTATTGATTCACCTACCCTCGAAACAAAGCGTGAAATGTTGGGTGTAACCTTCCTCTTTAAGCTAATGAAAGGTGATGTCTATTCGCCGACTTTATTAGAACTTATCACATTTACATCGCGAATAGGATGTCAAGATGTTTCCTGCTCTTACAGCCGCCACAATTGCATACCAATTATGAGTTGTTCAATCCGTTTCGGCCTATGTGTGAAATGTTCAGTGCTCACTAACACTTACTTGATTTGTCCCTTTCCACCGTTAATAAGGTGAAAAGCGTCACATTGCACTAACTGTTAAACCTTTTTTAGCCATGAACAAATATAGGTAAATGTAATCAAAATACTCCTTGATATTTAATTTTTCCTCATTTGTTACTATTAATAATGCATAAATAAGCTCATATTCATTTATCTACATATATTCTGTAGTCTATTATGGTTGACATCATGTTTGTTTTCACTTATATTTTCTTCTTTAAATCAATAAATCGCAATTTCTTTGTCACCTTTGAACCTAGTAAGAATTCAATAGATAATCAGTCTATCAATCGATCACTAATTAAAAGCAAGCGAAGAATTCTCTCAAGAATTAATTCCGCTTATTAGCGCCCTTAAAGGGACCTATTGTACCAAAAAAATATATTTTAACCAAGCTATGCTACTTCATCTAGTGCAATTTTCACTTATAATATCAAAAATTACATCGTACATACAGGCAAAAGCACGTAAGAACGAAAAATAGATCCACCTCGTTCAAATTTAGCGCAGTAACTTTGTATGTCTTGGACTCAGTTTCAAAGACTTACTTTTTCTAGGGATGGTCAAACTAGAGGGAGCCCAAAAAATGCTTTGTTATATCAAATCATATACCAAATTGTATGCTGTCCCAAGTGCACCCCACTGCTCTCTACGTTCACTAGTAAATTTTTAATGACAACATAAAGTACGAAATCTTCTACTCAACATAGCATTTTTGATAGGAATCTAACAAAAAAGGAATAACTAGCTTTTGTTTGTATTTTCTATGAATATTTAAGTTTTATTTGCACTTATCTACGAAAGCATAAAAACTCGATCGCGTTTAGAAGCATCTAAGAACTGCTGCTGTTTGTAATGGCAGTGTTTTCTTTCTTATCTTTTATTTAGAATGCGCTTAGCGCGCGTTGCTAGTATGCTATTAAAGTACTCCGTCTGATTATTAAATAATGAAAATCTCGAAATAATTATCTTTGAACTTGTAACACTTGTTCAGATAATTTCATTCTCTCTCTCCTCTTTGCTTCTTCTCTAAATATTTTTTTTTTTTTTGCTTCTTGTTTATCTTTTAGATTTTAGTGACAACGATAATTGTGAACAAAACGCTTATTGTGCACAGACTGCAACACAACCTATTTTAGAAGCTTAATTAACATTTACCTCAAACTGAACCAGCAACAGAAGTCGCTTTTTGTGCATATACTTACTCTTCGAAATAAAAAACAACAATAGAACAACAACAAGAGCAAAAACTAACGATTTGTTCCATCCAAGGAAAAACACAAAAATGTCATTTAAAGAAGCGTTGACTGAAGTAAACATAAACATCATATCCGCAAAGACGCTAAGTGGTACAGTGACTGCAACGACTTTGCCGGAAATTCGCGACTATTTGGATGAACTCGATATGGTTAATTTGGCCACGTACAATTATTTGATAAGCGATGGTTTGCTATTTATGGATATGGAGGAAGCCATCGCCAATGGTAGCAATAAAAGCGATAACTTTCCCATATTTAACAAAGGCAATTACAGTGGAAATGAAACCGATGATATGACAGAGATAGGCGCTGAAGAAAATGACTTGCTGCTGCCGCAAGATGTTATTGTATTGTTGAAGATAATCGCTATGTCGATTGCTCTTGGTTTAATGATACTCATCACCATAATTGGTAAGTAAAGGTAAAAAAGCAAAAAAATGTACGTATGTTTGGCAAAACAACATAAATTTCTAATGCGTTCTTGCAAGGATGCGCCACTGAAATGCTGAAAATATTTTGACCAAAGTACAGCGTTTTCAATAATTGAAAGGAGAGGGACTAGATTAACTTTTCTGTGATCTTCTGACTTTAGTAAGCCTAAAGAGATTACGTAAAGTTTTTTATAGAAAACTGATGGTATATAGACTAGATTTGAAATCTGATAGATCGACAGCAATATTTTACTAAATGTAGAAAAACAAATTCTCTATATTAAAATTCGCTTCTTTACAAAGCCCATCTAATCCATTCATCTCTCGCGAAATTTTGGATATAGATAACTTGGACATTGTTGCCTTTAAGGTTTAATCAATCAGTGTATATCACAATATGAAGAAATAGATGTCAATAATCAGCATTTAAGGCCATGCACGTTAACGTGGAAGAAATTGCAACTAAAACTACTGTTGTTACAACGGGACATCCGTATTCTACCCGATAAGAGATGAAATATCAACGACAGCGATGTTAAACATTTCGATTATTCAGCTTTATTCAGCTTTTTAACAAGTATGTTTTACACATATTTGCCATAAACCCGGTAAAAAGCAAGGCATTGTATCAATAACTTGTACATACTGGAGCAAATATTGATTTAAAATTTCCGATCACGCGCATCACCTTAACGATTGGCAAACTGTTCGATATTCAAAATTGTGTTCCTGCAGTTTAAATGGTTTCTCCTACCTTTTGCCTTTGATTAATTCCTTTCATATGACTGGCTATGTGTATAGGTGTTCTTGCATTTGTGAACGAAAAGCGTGAAAACTATTTATAATCGTTTTAATTACGTCCGCTTTTAGTCCCCCGCCACACCACTTTCTATTTGAAAACGACATATAACAATAAAAACACTTGATTTATATATACCTTTAACGACAACAACACTCTGCGTCTAAGTGAATGGGTAAAAGCGCAATAAAACACTTCATCGCTTTTTTTTTTGTGTTTTTTCTCTAAGCAAACAAACAAACCAAACAATAGTAACAGAAAAAAAACTAAAGCTCGAGTGTAAATTAACAAAGCACCTGACACAATGATTTGTTTATAAAAAAAAAAAAGAAAGAAAAAAATGTTTATAAAAAAACACTTTTTATATAAACATCGCATTTATTACAAAGATATGGCGGATATGGACGTCTGTGCGTGTCACGCTTTTTGGTGAGAGGAAAACGTATTTGTGTAGGATGACTGTCGGAACTCAGTATAGATTAGAATGAAAAGAAAACTTTATCGAAAAGTAAATGTAAAATTAAATTCGCTTTAAGGCCTGCCACTCGTCAGTCGAATATTAAGTGCAAAAATCGTAAAGCTTTTCCTTTCGTTTATTTGTATAAAGGGGGCTAACACCGAGGTAATTTTCATAAATCGAATTTTATATCGATGCCAGCTACGGGCTCTAGGCTCAACAGCCTAGAGCTGCTATAATTTTTTCTATTTTTGTTTTTTTTTTTTTGTGTGGCACATTGTGTCCTCTTCTATTATTGAATTTGAGAAGAGACTCATGCCCATCATTCCCTTAATGCTTTAAAATTTTCAACAACATAGCCCAGACGGGATCACGGACAACACTATAAGTATGAGTAAACCGACTCAGAATCAAGAATTTAGCAATGTGTCTGTCTTAAATTCACGGATTCTGCTGTATAGTGTGTATATCAAAATTTCTATATTTACTATATATATATATATATCTTATCCTAGGTGCCAGGTAGTTGTATAACAACCCAGCGTCACTTTGTCTACCTCTCTCTCTCTCTCTCTCTCTCTCTCTCTCTCTCTCTCTCTTTCTATCTTCATCCATCTCTTTCCCTCTCCTCTGTTTTTAATGCAGCCATTCTATTTCCGCTGCTGGCGTTTTCTGTGTGCCTCTTTTCCACCAACCATATATCACCTCCTTTACACTAATGCCCCTCTCTATCTCACTCACTTCATGTTCGCTGCTTACACATCTGCCATATTGTTTCAAGAGCACCGTATAATTGTATACCTTTTTTCCTAAATATTTGAAAGCAAACCTGTAAATACGACGATAACTGACACTATATACAGGCGAGTAGAATAAAAGCGAAAGAGCGTCTACGGACTAGACCGGCCCATAAAAATATTGTGTTGCGAAAAGATTGAATACCACCACGCCAAGCTAAACAATAGCAATAAAATTACATTTTATGAACATAGAGAAGTAAAAGTTAATTCCAGTTTCCTTTTTATTGTTTGAAACGTGAATTTTTTCATTTCACCACACGCTTAGTTTGTAAGTAATGTAAGAAATCACGCTTGCATAAATTAGCACAATTCTCTAAAGATTACCAATAATCACACATGGTCGTAGAGCATAATTTTAATCAGCTTTTTGTCAATATGCCCTCAGAAGATAATCATTTTCTGCTTGAGCGCTTAACAGAAAGAATGAATTGAAACAATTCGCTTTATGTACGTACGTACGACATTAAAATTGTAATGCAAGACAGTACAGAAGAATATATATATATATATATATATATATATATATATATAGGAAATTGTTTCAATTCGTTCTTATATATGTGTGCATATATATATTAGGTGCTTGCATGTATTTTGATAATTTATTCACTTGGAAGAAGCGTTCATTGAGAAAAATTGTTGCATGTATATTAATCAAAATATTTTTCACCATTTTCTACTTTTTCCCATCTCTCAGGCCACACGGCGCCACCGTGTCGAAGGAGCAATATTAGTTTGGCAGCGATACAATCATCGACCCATTTTCGCCCTTCTTTCGCGTTTCGAAACCGCGTTTCGACCAAGGCATGCCGCATCGACTGAACAAGATGTAGTCAGAAGATGCTACGTATGGCGAATACGGCGAATGCGGCAGAACTTCTCATTCGAGTTACAACAGCGTATTCGTGACAACTCTTGTAACTTGCGACCAAGCGTTGTCGTGCATCTTTTTCGCAACAATACATCGTTCAATTTGTTCAATTGTCGTTGGCAGATGTTTGCAGTAACAGTTTCAATCAGTTTTAGCAGCTGGTAATATACCACACCATGCTAGTGCCATTATATGCACAGCAGAACTTTATGGCCATGAGTATTTAGTCATAACTTTTTGGCCTTGGGATTGTCGTTTTAGACCCACTTTTCATCTCCAATCACAACATGCCAAAGTAAACTCTTCTTTGTTTGGCTAGCAGGCAATGAAACCAAGACGTTGAAATTGTTTGAAATGGAATTTTCAGTCAATTCGTGTGGCAGTCAATTTCCCTCCTTTTTAGATCTTTCCCATCGCATGTAAATGTCTAAAAACAGTTGATTCATCAGCTGCTAAGTTGTTTGAAAGTTCTTTCAGAGCGTTAGCTAGGTTTTCGTCTAATAAGTGTTGCCATTCATTGTCTCCGAACTTTTTTTCTTTGTCATTGACATCAAAATTACTGTTGAACCCGAAACCGACAGTTGGGATATGGTGAAGCAGCGTCGCCGTAAGCTTCTAAAAGTGTTTGATGGACGTCGGCAGCAGATGTCTTCAAATCAAAAAACAAAAGCAATCAATGCCGAAAACGCAATTTTGAACTTTCCACGGTTAGCGTCTGTGTCCACTCAATAGCCAAGTAACACTGAATGGGAAAACTATTAGATAGCGTAGAGAATAGATATGGCTGACGAAGATACATGCAATCGCTTATTATATATATATCTAGATATATATATATATGTATATTTAATTTATAAACATTATACGTGTATGTAAACGTATAAACGTTTATGTATAAGTAGTTGTATAACTGCCTATCTTTATGTATATCTGTATATATTTAGCCGTGTATATGTGAACCCACTTCTGTGTCCCTAAGTGCACTTTCTTTTACAAAACGTTTTATGAATTAGTAGCTGCCGACAATTAAGTTGAGTGCTCTCCAAGAACGTGCAGCTTCCAAAGGCATGCGGGCTCTTATTGTTATTGCTATTATTTTGTTGAAGAGGTTTAAAAAGAAAATACGTGTACATAAAAAGAAAGAAAAGATTTAAAACTAAAGTCAGGAAAAAGGGGGAAGTTATATACGCTTTTGGTTTTATCTTGGAACTCCACACTAAAAAGATTTTTTTTATATCAACATTTTATTACAAATTTACGCAATTTCGCCGTTGCCTTGTAGACTTAAGCGAAAGGCGTTTGCTTGGAGTCCAAAATTCATAATTTCATTAAACTCAACCATGTTTACGCTGTCGTCTGATATTAGGATGTATTTTAATCTACCCCATGTAGGATACAAATGAAACGTTACAAACATAACAAGCATCTTAATGAATTCCCGCAAAGCAGATGTTGACCACAAAGAAAGCAATTATTAATGCACAGGGCTTTCCTATCCTGGAAGGAGGAATTAAACTGTTCTCTCATTTTTCTCATTTTTTGAAATCATTAGCGTCGGCGATTAAATGACAAAAATGACGGAAGAAAGTGTTCTTAAAGAGCAAATAGATAAGTTTTTGTTTTATGCACATTTGCAAAATGTAAGGAAAATACGAAGAGAAAGCAAATGACAGCAAGACGAATTTTGAAAGGTGTACTCGTTTCAAACAAATTTCTTATAAATACCGTCCTAAGTAGTTTCCTGCTAATTGCAAAAACTAGACGTATAATGCCTTTGCCCTTTTCGAGCTAGGTTTCTCTTTGCAGCGGTGTGCCAGTAGAATGCGCAATGACCTCAATATCAGACTGACCCAGGCCGAGTATAACTTTCTTACTTTGTTGTGTTTTTTTCTCTCACTTGCCTTGCTTTCTACATATATTTTGTTATTATTATTCGGTCTTTATCTTGTGTGTTTTAAAAGTTAAGTCTTAGCATCTAGCTTAACATATGTTTTCACGACTTTACTGAATTCGACTTTTATTACATTCCGCCTGAATTTCTTACGTAAGTATATAAATATATAAACCAAGTTAGAACCTTACGCTGCCGCGAAGGCGTTCCCATGTATATTTTGACAAAATTTTACTAACCGTAAATGGTTCGTTGCATTGCTAGTGGATGCAATAATTGTAAAGTTTCGTCTTAATGAGGATTTATTATAACATTATTTGTGTGTATATCTGTTGTGAATGGGATTTTGCATACTTTTCATTTTGAAAGCGCTTTTTTATCTCTGTAAATAAAGACTGTTATTAATCGTTTCTCGCCGGTGAACACAATTTTTGTCGATGTCATGGACATATAAGTTTTGTAAAATAGTTTTAAATAATTGAATGAACGAACCATTTAGTTAATTAAGTCGTTCATTCATATTTTATACCTGGGTGTACTACCTTCGGGCAATAAATTAACTGCGACAACTATGTGAACAAGGCACAAATGTTATAAACAAATAACCGCCAGAGTTTAAAAGTAGAAATAGCAAAGCAAAAATATTTTAAATGATATTTTATCAAAATTCTTATTTTCTTCTCCTTCCATTTTTCCATGCGATCGATGACAATGACAAATGGTTCTATTTTCAATGAAAATGATAATAATAACAACAATAACAACAATAATAACAATATAACTAACGATAAAAACAAAAACGTCGACAATTGTTATTTCTAAATGTCAACTTAAAACCCAAATCACCAACGGGGACAACGCAAATAATTGCCGTTACGACTACCGTCGAACGATGTAAATCCGCGGCGATTGTGTGTTGTGGCGGGCTGCTTGGGTTTTTGCTAATGCGGTAAAAACAAATGACACCTTTTAACCATTGCGTTTTTATTTTTTGTTATTGTTCTTACTTTATTATGTTATTGTGCTTCTTTTCTAAAACAACCACAACCGCAATTACCACCAACACCAACTGTACCGCTTTTAACGACTTGATTTGAATACCTTAACTGCTGGGGTGATTCGTCTCTATGTGAACAATATCTCCATTGAACAAACGAACGACAAAAATCTATTATACAAACCCGTACATAAACATACAAACATATATACTTCCATATATACACATAACATTTTGTACGAACAACCAAACACTACTAACAAACTGAACACACTCTTGGGACTTTGCAAATGCATCCAAATATGAACGGAAAATACATCTTTAACAACAATGGGTATAACAATGAACAAAAACAACAACAACAACAATAACACTAGGAAACGTTTTTGTAATTGCGGCCATAATACTAGAGCGCAACTTGCAAAATGTTGCTAATTATCTGGTCGTCTCATTGGCAGTAGCAGACTTATTTGTTGCTTGTCTAGTTATGCCATTGGGTGCCGTATACGAGGTAAGTAAGTGTGCAACAATAATAATTTCATTTCGTTAATGTAACGCTGAATGAAATGAACGAAAACAAAACAAAATAAAAGAAAAAATGAAAACACACAACCGAATATCAAGCACTACGGTCGACACAGTATGAATCTTAAAGCACATCACTCACCACCATCACTCACATTTCACGGAAACCACTTGGTGCACAACTAGCAAGGCAATCAGAGTTGCGTGCAATTATATCTTTGCATAACATTCGCACACAAACATATAAATATATATAAATAGTTGATATTTGTTTACATATATAAACATTTTTTACATACATGTATATACATCACGCAATTTATGTGTATGTTTATACCAAATAGTTTTATTATTTAGTCAATGCGTGAAAACGACTTCTTAACCCTACAACTGCCGATGTTTTGCATTTACTTATTTCTGTCAAAAGCAATTATTTTGATCTGTGAAATCATCACAATCGCAAAATTGGAGGTAAGAAGCTGAAGTTGTGCCCAAACATTATTTTGATCGATTAAAAACCCACACTTAAAAAATGGTTATGACCTGCTTACATCCACGCCCACTATGTAAAACAAACTGAAACTAAAAAGATATAATACTTGACAGCTTTTCTACATTTTCGTCTGCAAATTTTTCATAACGTACCACGTGAACCAAAAATTAGGCAACTGAAAGCAAAAAAGATCCGCCCATTTCCCTCAATCATACAATATGCGCGTAGATTCAGTGAATTACGCTTGTTCTTATACTAGATCCGCATTTTAAAATTAAACTGAATGAAGGCTTATGTATTAAATTTCGATTTTCTAAACAATTTTTTGAATTCAGACACTAACGAGTATAGATAAGGAATCAGCGGAGAGCCTAATGAGATTTCGAGCTGTTTAAATATATTTAAACCCTCAGGGGTACATTCTGGCATTACGATCGGTCACTGGCTATAGTAGAAAATAAATAAATTCTTATCATAGTTATTTTGTATGAATTTTCATATTCCGAAGGAGTATTCATAAAAGAAAGCCCCGATATCAGTTGTAATTTGAAGCAGGGTTATTGAGCGAAGCACACAGAACGAAATGTATTGCCGGTAGTGACGTGTCTATGTTGTTGCTCGGAATAAATACAACAAACTCAATAACAAAACAAGTAAGAACATTATAGTCGGGCAATGCCGATCTTTAGATGCCCTACACTACATTATCTAACATAATTTTTATCATAGAACACAAAAAATTACATATTGTTTCTATATAGAAAGGAGTATTTTCCGTGTATATTTTTATGGGGAAGAGGGCACAAAACCTAATATAATGCAAGTTTAATCGTCACATAGGGCAGGATCCAAAAATAAGATGATGGTAAATGGTCTAAATTTTGGAGCGTTCACTTTTGTATTAAATTACTATAATGGTATGGGTCAATTTCGATCACCACATATTAAAACTTAGACTTTCCTGCTCCACAATGGATCAATTTTCGTGAAAATCGCTATTCGGTTAGGACACAAAAATAGGCCGAATTGCTCCAAATTTGGCACACTTAATTTTTTTTCTGTTAAACTACGATTGTGATATACTTCGTCGTGAATCATTGGGAGTGTTCGAAGAAGTGGTCCAAACTTGGTACATTTAATTTTCTTCATGAAGCCATGAAAATTGTACCTTTTTGTCGTGTGAACTTTAATTTTCGCTTTATGGGATGGTTCAAAAATAACGCCAGTTGATTCAAAGTTTCCATACCAATTTAGAATGCCCAAATACTACTACTTAGCCACTTTTGCTGACAAATTTTGAAAATTGCAATTTTTTTCGAAAAAGTGCACCGATACGAACAATTTTCAATAGCGTTCGTTCTTGGGTGACAACACTTTACTGTGCTAAATTTCACCGAATATCTCAAAAATTGTGGCCTATAGCTTGAGCACAAATTTACATTGACAGGCATCTGGACAGGCGCACATGATTATATCAATTCAGATTATGATTCTGAATCGTATGCGTGCTGCTTACGACCGCACTAAGTTAATATACCCTGTATGTAGGGCACAATAGTAAACCTTTTTACTTTGGGGAAGGTTAAGAGAATAGAGTGTATAAACCGTAAAGCAAAGGATTTACTACTACATAATAAAATAGCACACATCTGCTGTGCGCATATAAAACAAAAACAAGTCGTCTAAATGTAGAATGCAGAGTTTTGGAAAGTTTTGGAAGTTGAGAGCTAAGAGACTCATTCATTAATTTATTTGTCCTTGTGTGCGTGTTTGAACCTTGAAAGTTATTGTTATTATATAAATTAAAATTTATTAAAGGCAATGTGTGTGTGCGAGTGTTTAGATATTTTATTTTTAATTTTCTTTTTTGGAATGAGAAATACTACAAATATTTTCATTACTTAGATTAGCAAAGGTTGGATACTGGGACCGGAATTGTGCGACATTTGGACTTCATGCGATGTTCTCTGCTGTACAGCATCCATATTGCATTTAGTAGCTATAGCGGCAGATAGGTAAGTGTTAATGTGTAATAATTTTCATATACTAGACGGAAAGTTTTTGCTTTAGTTTAAATCGCATTTACGGTATGTCTGTTCCATAGTATTATCAATTACTACTCGTTACTAATGATTCTTTGTGATGGTTCTTTAATGATAGAAAAAAGGTCACACTACCGCTCTTCATTAATTTTAAATCTGCTTCAATTTTAAAAAGGGTCACGTTAATGTTAGAGCTTTGTATACGTGAACGTGTTCACCAATGAATCTTCGTTTAATTAATCCTCTCTTATACATATAGATGAGATGTTAACGCTTTTACTTTCTCTTCAAATGTAATATAAAAATTAATTTATTTCTGCATTTGTGTTTGCGTGCAAACATTCCAACGGGGCGAAGAGATTTTAAACATTAAATGCAAAATTAAAAAAAAACGCTTACTAGGGCTGCATATTTTTAACGTCATTATACAATACCTCACACCACTTGTGATACAAAGTACATTAAGTTTGTGCGGATGTATGGATCACTCAGAGGGGCTTAAGACAAAGAGATCTTTTATTATACCCGTCGATACAGAATCATTTTCCGAATTTACTTGCGTTGATTGATAATCCGTACGTCTGATGTCTGTCCCTGTTTGTTTTATGTTCCGATCCACGGGTTTCTTTACCACCTTGTGAGAAAGGGGTACTACGTATATATTTGTCGTCATTCGAGAAACACAGGCTAGTCCTAGACATTGCCTTCATGATAATGACTAACTTTAATTTTCTCATCCGTCCGATAAAAAATTTTATTCGCGCGTTCAACTATGAACTTTTTAGCCTACTTTGGCCTCTCTGTAAAAATCGAAATGATGTCAATTACGTAATCTTTCTATCAGATCGGGTTGGTTCCATTACATTTGCTCTATTTAAGAACTCTGTATTGCCGACGTCATCTTTTAACTAAAATTTGAATTGTTATTGATATGCGTTCCGCCAACTTATAAAATAATGTATCATGTGGTGCAATCTTAACCGATGTACTTCACAAAATGATGGATCCAGATGAGGACTTCGAGTTGTTCTTTGCGTATTCATATATGTTAATTTCGTAGTTTAAGACTTCTCCTTAATTGCAGCTAGTTTAGTTTTTATTCTCAAGGTCATGTAATTGGGCTGAACCTAAGCTGAAGCTGAATGCTTTCCAATTAAAGAAACAAAGAAACCTATAGGTAATAATTTTTGAGATGTTTGGATGAAACTTGGTACACTGGCATGCTTTGACGCATTGAAAATGGTTCGCATCCGTCCACTTTTTCGAGCTTCCCCTTCATTTTGCAAAGCCGTTATATGGAAAATAATTCAATTTTCGAAATTTAATTGAAAGGAAATTGAGTAGAAGCATTTTGTCATTGTAAGAAGTTAGTACCAAAAATTTGGTTCGGCTGGGACAAATGTTTGAGCCGCCTGTATATAAGCGCTAAATAGCTTGCGCTTAGTATTTTTTTTAGGTCTTCTAAAGGGTTCTAATTAAGTGTTTTAGTTTAGGAATGTTTAGTGTAGGCTTAGGCATTGTCAGAGTACGGGCCTTGAACAAAATTAATTTAATATGAATCAAGTTTGATGTACATATGTCTGAGAAATGATTGTTTACAATGTTTAAACTTTTGCTAAAATCGCCAAGTGGCTTATATATAATAATTCATAATTAAATCTATATTCGCTTAATTTTATTAACTGATAGTTTTTTGAAGGACGAACTGCGACATGGTAGTTAATTTTACTCAACAAAGCTTGAATCGATAAACCCCTTTATCATCTTCACAAACAATGAAGCCCCTAAGATAACCCAAAAAGTGTAGTGCTATGAGTAGCAGTGTAATCTCATGTGATAGTAATGTTACTTGTGAGACCAACGATAAATTCCTTAAGGCGAAAAGCAAGAATTGTTTTCAGTATGGGTCTTTCCCGTTGTCTTTTGCATGGTAATGCAAACCAGAGACCGTCAACATGGACTCAAAATCTCATGCTAAGGAAGATATTTCGCTTATAGTAAGGCGTAAAGCTGGCGACCGGGAGTGTAGAAATATAAAGAGGTTAATGAAGTGCGGTGTGGCAGAGCAAGAATAATTAAATAAAGTTAATAGAGAGCAATCAATAAAGCGCGAAAGTGCTGCAGTTGATCCGAAAGGGTTCGAAGCCGTTATGACGGGTATTCTACGAAATATTTAGACTTACAAAAGCACAATTACGTAAGTTCGTCTCATGCATAACGTTTGCAACTAATTGTTATTAAATATACCTCAGTTATTATGCTTCAAAGAAAGATCTTATAAGAGGGCATAGACGAATTATGTACGGCGGTTGCTTTTATGCGATATATAGAAGTGCAGTAGAGCGAATATTAGAATGAAATTAATCGTTCTCTGACATTAGATCAACTTAAAATGCATTTTTAATACAAGCACTTAAAAGGAAAAGCACTAAACAAACCTAATGAATACTAAGTCTTCGTAGCTTATGTATTAAAGAAGTTGCCGTTCGCATCTATTGGTTTTCTAATGCTCCTGAGCATCCAGCTCAAGCCAAATTAATACATTGTATAAAGTTTACAATGCCTGTTTCTGTGAATGAAAAAAATTAGTACACCTACTTAAAAGGACTCCTCTTCTTTCTTTATCGAGCAAAGTATGACTATTTATGCACATCTTGAACTAAATAAGTTTTTCTTGTAAGGTAGCGAGAAACTTTTTAAACTTTTCTAAAAAAAAATCTTTGCACACCTTCTACATTTTAAAGTACCTCAACAGGTCTCTTACTAATGGTGCACATAAATTTCTGGCAACAACTTCACTGCATTCTTGAACTATTCAGTAATAAAAAAAAAGAAAAAAATTTGGATTTTTTTCGACTTTTTATTTGCTTTACTGCATTAAGCCAAATATTTCGCTGTAAGATGGGAGAGAGATTGAGAACGAATTTAACTCATTTGTAACGGCCAAAATTCACTTCATTGATGCAATCAAATATAGCAATCCTATCAACGTCAGTTTTCTTTCAATTTGCCGCATAATTGTGCTCTACACTTAGGAGGATTTAACTTAGGCTCATTCGATCGATCGAGAAAACGATTCGATATGTGCGTTTGTCCGTTTGTGGCCGCGTGGCCATGCAAATATATGTTCAATCTACATGTCGCAATTTAATATTAAAGCAATTGGCTACATTGATGTGCTTTGACAAAAAAAATTGCAGATAGGCCCACTTTTTCGACCACTACTCGTATAATGCCTTGTATTAAAAAATTATTATATGAAAAAAAAAATTGCAATTTTTAAAAATTTCCGGCAAAAGCCGCTGAACAGTCATATTTTGACATTGTAAGTTGGTATGAAAAATTTAGTTCGGTAGGCGTAATTTTTTTGGAGCGCCTCTCCTGTAACTGTTGCTACGAAATCTCAGCCTTTATGTGGTAAAAAGACCTCATTTTCAATGCTTCATGTTGAGAATCGGTTCATTATAGTAAATTTGCAAAGAAATCAGTCTTACTAAAAATGGACCAAGTAGATCTATTTCTTGCACACCACCGCGTATAAGGATCGAAGGATTATAATGTTCTGACTTGCTTTTTAATGACGTTTTAGAAGGACGATCGAGTTTGAGTTGGCATTATTTAATATAATACCCTGAGATGTATATCTTAGGTATTGGACCGTCACGAATATTGATTATCACAATTTGCGAACTCCACGGCGCATATTCTGCATGATATTTACTGTATGGTTTTTTGCTGTGATCGTCTCGCTGGCACCACAGTTCGGTTGGAAAGATCCCGAATACATGGATCGAATTGAGAAACAAAAATGTATGGTCTCGCAAGATGTTGCCTATCAGGTAAAATTTCCTTTTGATTTGATATTAATTTTATAATGAAAAAAAGGATACTGAACCAATTGATGAAATATCATTATTTTTTCCCCTATTTTTTAAAGATTTTTGCTACATGTTGCTCATTCTATGTCCCACTACTAGTAATATTAGTATTATATTGGAAAATCTATAAAATTGCACGCAAACGTATCAAACGTCGTACCCAGCGGTTACGGTCTGCAGCTGCTAAGACAAAAGAGGTAAAGTTTGATTGATTAAAGTGTGCATTTTTTTTTTATTTTACTTTTTATATTTTATTTACTTTTTTATTTGAGTGGAACAGACTAGGCAAGAGGGGCTATAAATTCGCAGCCGTTCTCTTGATAATAGATTTCATTCATTACATACAATGGAAAATTTCCAGCAATAAAAATAGAAAAAAAGGAAAGAAATTGTATTCGGGTCAACCCGAATTTTTTAAGAAAAGTGACTGACAAAATTATTATAAATTATTTTGTTATAATTTATTTTAAAAATAAAAACTTAAAAGGTCACGGCCCTGTCATTTTAAATTTCGCACCATATTTGAAATGTCAACGTAGAACTGACATGACAATGACACGTTCCTACTTTTGTGTCAAAAGTACTCGAATATCATTTCCTTCCTTTCTCTTATGTTATTTAATTTTCAATGGTCTCTATTGCATCTAAAAAAAAATTTAGCAAATGAAAATTAGAAGGTTTTCACTCTCATTGTTGCACTCATGATTTTTCAAAGAAAATTGCCCTACGGTATGGGGCTCGCTTTCGTGAATAAATAAAAAACCACAAATAAGAGGCCTGAGCCTGTGAAAACCCGAAATAGTCGAACAACATCTTTAACTGTTTGACAATTTGATGCAATTGTTGGACTGGTAGTGTAGTTATGCCACACGGTCTCGAAAACGTTGGTAGTTTGACCGCTGCAGAAAATGAATTGTTTTATCGCAATTTGGTCGCTTGCTCTTAAGCCGTGGCTCCTACTAAGAAATTTAACGACATTATCAGCTAGATGGTGAAGCAGCGTTTATATCCATAGCCAAACAAAAAAACGTACCACAAATCAATGACTATACCGGCAAAATGTACGAATTGAAGAAATTCGCACTGGTGAGCCTCTTCTCCGTACTCTTCATACCTGGCTGCCTATAAAAAAATTGAATGAAATGGTGAGGCTATTGGAGAAACTGGGGCGCCTTTTAAGTACATGTCATTCATGTACAAATCGGTTAATAAAAAAACGTCAAAATGTCAGAGAAGCACTGGACATATTGCATTACACTTAAGAGATACTAAGGATGAAGAATGAAGAGGATTTTTGGAAAAATAAAAATTGTTTTTCGTACTTCGTCCCAGGAATTATTGATCAAATGGATTAAGCGTTGTAGAACTCTGTTAACACAGGTGTAAACCTTAAGCTATTATATATCATAAACGTTAGCACTTAGCACGACACAATTGTTGCGCAGACTGGTGCAGGGGGAGAAGATAAGAGGGCCTTCACACGCATATTGCATTTGTATTTGAAAGCTATCCTGATGATCTAAATTTATCTGCTCAGAGCAGTTACGCGAAATTGTAAACAAGCAAAAAAAGAAAGGAAATCTAAACCCTTTTATTGCTGTTTCACACATGAACATTTCCCAAACCTATTCAGGTATCTCCGATTCGTCGTAAAGGGTTAACAGAATCATATTCATTACCTTAGAAATGTCAAAATTATCATTGATTTTATGTCGAATTAAACATGAAGCATAATAAAGAAGATCGTAAAGCGCTTTAATAGTGAAGGCAGGGACAAATTGCTACCATTTGTACAAGGAAATATTAAATTTGTCCTTTAAATTTCTACGATCAACTGCATTATTTATTACGGCTTTACGGGATAGCTTTTGTTTGCTTTTTTTCCGAATTTTTATATCCACCGCCTGTACAACGATGCGGATAAATTGGCTTTGTGGCAGGAAAAGTTGTAAAACAATTCTTTGAGAAATGCGCAGCAGAAGTCGTTTACATTTTATAGTTTCTTAAGAAACGATTATTACCTTGTGTTCACCAACAATAAAGTCATCTTTTCCAAAATCACATAAAAATAAGTAAGAAAATTATATTCGGTCATAACCGAACCTTTTATACTGCACACTGTTATCCTAAAAAAGCAAAGAAAGGAAAAAGAACTACATTTTCATGTTCTATAATAAGAACCAGACGCGGTTGATTTTTCCGAAATAAAAGCATAAGCGTTGCGGGCGTGTCCTTGGAAAAATTTAAGTCACTTCTAAATTCTTTGCAAATTTATAAGCCATGTTTTAGTTTTCGTTAAAGGAAGAATGTTTGCCACAACACTACATGCGTACCCAGACAGATGGACAGACGAACAGGTGGATACAGGAACAAATAAACAAACACAAATGTTTAGTTGCACTGGCCAAGAATTTATCTATTTTATCGTGTTTTAAAGCCTTACAAAGGTATTGAAAAAAAATTAAATTTTGATACACTATAATATAGGCTAGGCGTGGTCAACGTTTTCCGATTTGGTATAGGTGCTATAGCAACGCCCATAGAATAAGCATCCAAATATTTACACATTTATCTATTATAGTTTATGAGTAATGGCCAAAAGACCATGTTCTTGTTCCTTTTGGAAAACAGAGGCGTCCTCAGTTCTCGGTGGAGCCGTGCGCGTATGCTTCGACCGATTTGGCTCATGTTAAGATCGACCTGCGTTCAAGAACTTCCAATGTTTCTGTCAAATTTGAAATCGATAGCTTGACGGACAGAGAGATAGACGGACAGGCGGGCATGCCAATCTGTCGTCTGCCCATCTGTGCGATATCCTGCGCTCTTCCGCAAAAATAAAGACATCACGTTCGAATTTAACAAAAAGGCTCAAAGTTCTTGCGTGCAGAGAGGCATTGAAAATGGGAGAAAGCGTTCAAAGGATATCTCTACAATGCAACCTAAACTAAGGCCACCTCCATCTTCTGGGTTTTCGTTCGTTACTCATAAATCACAATGGACGCAGGATAAAAATTTCCACGCATACCCTACATAAATTCATAAATGCACCCACATTTCCTCAATATTATGAAATATGAAACTTAAGGTTTTTCGCCCTTTTTAAACTTTGTTGTTGATAATTTTCTTACTTTTTACGAATATATTCATCTTTGCCCACTACCTTTATCTCGAAAAGTTTAAAAAATCATCATAAATTTCATCTTATGATGAAGGACCGCGATAGGCCCTGAACCTTTCTGTGGCGTATTAAGAATTCATATTTATAGGTTGGTCTCGCGATGGGCACCGAAAAAATCGGAGAAACTATTGCACCTAAGAAGGATACATAGGTATCTCCGATACCGATGTATGTAGATTCTATTAAAGGATGAGACTTCCCATAATATTCTATGTGAATGTGAGGCCGTCCGCAGAATCAGATAACAACTGTTTGGCTAGCACTTTATAATGCCGCACACGGTATGATTATCCGAACCAAAGAGTACGGTGGGATTCATAAGAATCCTGAGACCGGAGGGATAGGTGCGCGATGGATCTTTTAGAAAGAAGAAGGAAGAAGAAAGAAATTTTTGAAAGCCGAATATCAATTCTTACCTAAAATGAAAATATGGACCATTTCCCAACAATTCGAGAAAATTAAACCAAAAAAAACTGCTTACGATCTTGAATAGACACCTACATAAGTTTTGACACCGACCTTAACGAGGCCTACATTAATTTCTAAGAGAAGTTCGTGTCCAACAGTAGACAAATTAATTGTATTCGCTCCAGGCGCCTTTACTCTAGCACAGCCAAACGTTATTAACTTAATATTTAATAGTTTCTTGCAAAACAGGAAAGAACGGAAATGTGGACTACATGTAATCCGTGATTTCTGTTTTTACCTTAGATATTATGAAGGCTTTTCCCCATTCCCTGGTGCTGAGGTAAACTCAGCGGCACCAGGCTTTGATTCATAAGAATTTATATTTTTGCTGAATATTTACATTTATTTCATTTTTCTCAAATTTTTCTGTAAATTTCAAGTTTAGCGGAAGTTAACAACATTAAGAATTCCTTGATACTAAACTCAACTCGCACTCTCTCATCGCCTAAACTTAACTCCTCGTTGTTATTCTAATAATAAGTTGTTGGCTTTGCTCAGTTAATCTGTTGTCGTTTTCAGCTCACTCCTCATTCTGACTCCCCTACTCGACCGGAGCAGTCTGTCCTTGGACACTATTGGACTATTTGGCTCCTTTACGGCTCCCGTCAAGGTTGCCTTTTGCCCTTTTGGCAACCTCAATCAGAAACCTCTATTTCTGACTGGGGTTCCCACATCTCCCGTCGTCCGTCTTGTCCTTTACTTAATCCTTATTCTTAACCTACCTTAACACTTTAGCGCTCCCCCTCAGAGACGAAGAACCTGCGAGGCCAAAACGAGGGACGACTTTTGCTCCTCGGAATATGTACACATATTCAGCATATGCGCAACGACGCGCTAAGTACACTACCATTTTCCGATGGTTAATATAGTAAATTAAATTTTTTTTTTTTTTTTCAAAGCCATTTTAAGAGAATAAGTTCATGTATTTAGTACACGAGTTTAAGTAATGTTTGAAGAGGTTTACTTTATATGCTCGTAGATATGTGCATACACACATATTTACTTTGTTCTCGTATACATAAGCTAACAAAAAAAAAATAAGAAAATTATATTCAGTTGCGATCGAATCTTTTTTACCCACCATTTTTATCCAAAAAAAAAAAAAACTCTAAAATTAATAGAAAAAAAAAACAGAATTTTCGCATTGAACAATCTTGAGCGGGGTTAGCTGACTTTTTATCATTTTTTTGAAAATATTTTTGGAAATTTTTATCTTGCGTTTATTGTAATTCATAACCAAATATCAAAAGATCGAACGAAGAAGGAAAAATACCAAACTGCATCCAACAACTATCAGTGGTTCTCCCAAATTTGACACCCGGGACAAGCGGGCCATAGTTTACGACAAATATTACTACAGATGAACAGACGGACAAAGAGACTTGCTTAAATCGATTCAAAATGTTGACTCTGATCGATACCCTATGGCGACGCTTGAGCTTCTCTCTGGGTGTTACAAATGTTTTCACAATACGAGCGAAACGTCAACTTTTCTGTGGCGGATATAAAAATGCATAGAATAAAAACACGGAACACGGAAAGGAGAGATAAGACAGTACAGCACTACATTCAGGAAGAAAAGCAAACAAAAACAAAGGAAAAAATATTTAACTATAATGCTGGCATATTGAATACGTAATCAATGCATGTTTATGATGCTCTTGTGTGTAAAGTATTTACTGTGTTACTGTGTTCTTTATTTCACTTTGCGACTAATAAATTGGTTCACACTTGCCTACATGATGGATTACTAATGTTTGTAAAATTCTATGTACTGTTTATTATCTTTCAGCCGGATCTAGACAGCAAAAAGGAAAGGAAACGTTTGAAAATTTGCTTCACTAAGAATGTCTCGACTGAGAAGGCAACTGGCAGTAGCATTGCTTTTAATTACGCAGGCAGCTCAAATTTAAATGTGAGAGAGGAAACGGAATTCAGTACCAGTAATTACGATAGTAAAAGTCATGCTGGCACCGATTTAACCACAGTGTCAGATGAGAATGCCGCCGTCAACGCGAATGAAGAAGTTAGTTTCATTATTCTCACTCAACAAGAAAAAAAAACAAAAAAATTATGTAAAGAAATAAAAATAAAACAACAAAAACAAATTGCAATGAAACAATAATAAATCTAATGGAAAGTTTTCGTTTTCGTTTTGGTTTCTTTGTGTTTTCGCTTTTACTTCATTTCATGTGGCGTCATCGTTGTCAACTTTATTATAATATGCACTTATTGTGTGCGGGTGTGTGTTTGTACATGTGTTGTCGGGTAACACACATTTCCGTCAACGTAGCGTTCACCCATGCCTATGGAAGTATCAACGGTGTCACAGCAAGTGGCGGCAACTACATCAAAATTTCAACAGCATGTTACCGCAATCGTACTGAATTCGGTAAGTCCGCGTTCTTCTGCGGCCGCGAACAACAAAGAACAAATCACTTCACATTCAACGAATCCACACCAAAGACTGGCTAAACGACGTCAACAAATTGAAGCAAAACGTGAACGCAAGGCAGCGCAAACTTTGGCCATTATTACGGGAGCATTTGTTGTTTGCTGGTTGCCGTTCTTTGTTATGGCCTTGCTGTTATCGTTGTGTAAAACTTGCGAAATCAATGAAACCGTTGCATCATTCTTCCTTTGGTTGGGTTATTTAAATTCAACTCTCAATCCCATCATTTACACTATTTTCAACCCAGAGTTTCGACGTGCCTTTCAACGGTTACTCTTTGGCAAGAGTCACATAACCGCAACTCAAGGCAAGAGAGGCAGTGCTAATATATGATCTTAGCTAAAACGGGGCCCTCCGCCCAGCGTAATGGTAACTGAATACAGTTGTGCATAATGCTCAAGCCATCACAAGCATACGAATTAGGCGGTAAGTTAATAAATTAATTGTAATTTAATACAAGTAAGAAAATTATATACAGTCGTGACCGAATCTTTTATACCCGGCACCATAATCCTGGAAAAAAATTCAAGAAAAAAGGAAGAAAACCAAATTTTCATTCGCTATAATATTGGGCGGGTGTGAATGAAATTTGTATCTTGTATCTATTGCAGCTTGGGAGTACGGAGCAAGAAACACGGAAATGCATAGATCTTCTCAACTTTTGTCGTATTGCATGCGTGGCCTTTGATCTACTCTGGTCGTTTTAAAATTATTTAGCCAATAATGTACTTGATATCTCCATTTTTGCTAATGGGACAATTTTTACCAACGATACTGCAGAGTGACAGATGGACAGATGAACTTAAGCGCATTCCGAGTTTGACTTTGTTTAACAATATATTTATTTGTTTTTGGGCGTTCTAAAGGTTTTGGGCTAAAAAATTACATCATTATATATAAATATATATATTACGTCTGCATGATCGACTTATGCCATCTTTGTACAGAAACCATAGCATCGCCCATAACAGTTAAATGTTTTTTTGATATATTTATCTTCTTTCCTTTATGAGTAATGAACAAAAATCGAAATTATTCTTTTCTTGCGAAAGCCAACTTATTTTCAACTTACGCGGCATTGTAGGCGTGTTCTTCGACCGATTTAGCCCATTTTTAATATTAAGTTGTATGCAAGAACTTCCAGTAATGCTGTCAAATTTGAAGCCAATAGTTTCATTTTTGAAGCTAAGCGAAGGTTTACAGATAAACAGACAGACGGACATGCTTAGGTATATCCAAAATTTGATGCTGATCGATAAGTATATAATATAGCTTATGAGGTTTCTGAAGCTTTCTTCTGCGCGTTGTAAATGGCTTGAAAACATGAACATATCCCTATCTATGGCTCTTGTCTCCTCTCTGTTTCATGCACAACAAATATTGCGGAATTGAAATTTAAAGGAAAATCCACCTTTAACATAAAGTTTGAAATAAAAAAAAGAGAAAACATTTATTTTTATTTTATTGCCTTTTGCTTCCATTTATTTCAGTTTTCTAGGACTTGTGCAAAAGTATTTGCAATTGTATGTGTATGTCAGTATGTGTTTGGGTGTCTGCTTCCACATGTGCCTTTGAGCTGATTTGTTAACACAAAAGAGTCAGAACTTGTTGAAAGGAAATTTTTTATGGACACTTTGCCGACGACAGTTGTAGTTTGTGTAAAACGTTTCCACTGAAATGAGAAAAAAATCAATAACTTCGTCTTTTCGTATTGACTTTAAATTTGTTGCACAAATTCTTTGTTTCTTTCTGCTTCTCGCATACGTAAATACACAAACATTAGCACATACCGTTTTACATGTTCACTTTTAACACACAACTACTGCTATGATTTAACCCACACAATCAATCAACAATTGCTTGTTTACGACGAACAACGGTAAAGGGCCCAACATAACGCAGTAGAACTGGAATAAATTCATTACACTACAGACGTATAACCCACTAACTAACACGTGATGTGATAACAATGATAACGATAACGATGACGATGATGATCATGTTTAACAGTACTTCTTTCGTCATGGCATACTGGCTGTTGTTACTTATTTTATATCCTTTGGCTAAAAACCTGTACCAGTAAACCAGTTACGTATTCTTGTGTACTAAAAACTTTTTTTTCCATTTTCCATTTGTATTCATCTACAGCTCGTGATAAACTGTTTATAAAATACTTTTAGTTTGCAAAACTTGAATACAGACATTTCAAGCAATTGAATAGGATTTTCACAAGCTTTGATCCAAACCTCAATTTCCTTATTTGTTAATTGCCGGTATTTAAGTTCATGGTAGATGATCAAGTGCTAATAAAATCAAATAAAAAATTGACAGCAATTTTTACAAGTACGATAAACAAATTTTTTGATTAAAGCAAACAAATAGATAGAAAACAAACCATGACAGATGCACAAAAAAAAGGAAGTAATTAATGCTCGTTTCATAAGAAATCAAAACAATGGAACCATCGTAACTATAACCTTAGAAATGTCTTTTACTTCTTATTCATTCCTAAGCATTTCAAAAGTAAAAGCATGTAATTCATTGTATATATTAAAGGGAACATTGTTACCGTAGAAAAATGCAGAAATTTGAAAATAATCAAGAAAAAATTCGTGGCGTTCTTCAGCGAAAATCAAACTAAATTCTTTCTCATATTTCAAATAAATTTCATTACGTCAAATACTTGCATTTTGGATCAAAGTCAAAAACGTTTCATAGATTTTTTTTAAAGAAAACCAGTATCTTAAGAGACATTTTGGACCAAACGTCTGTGGCGCTACACGTAGTTATCACACGTACTATACTGCTACTGTCGACGCGATAAATCAATCGAAACTTCCGCACAAAGCGCTTTCGGTTTTTAGCGAGTCGTTAAAGGTGCGATCTGGCTTCGTCGTAGTGAAATACAAGGCCTTTCGTGTTGATCAATTCTGGGCAATTGTATATTTCCATTATTAATATTTCAATTCTTGTTGAAGGTAGAGTGATATTAATCGTTTGGCCAGATTGGAATAATTCATAATGAGAAGTTTATACAATACTATCTTGTCAAGTAATTACATCACTTGGCGTCAATCAACCATTCGCCGCCGTTTGTGCAGCTTAATCTCTCTTGAATCACATTATTTTTTGCACAGTATTGCTATATATGGCGTACTTTTAATTATCTGTCGGGAATATTTTCAAAACTGGCGGCCATTGTGTATCATTCCAACGGACTTTTGCAGATGAAACTTACTTTTTCACTTTTAAGTCATGAGATAGGTAGACATCGAGTATCTCTTTGCATTCGGTCTTATGCAAGCGACTGGACCGGTGACTAGTAAAATAGACCGATCTTTCTCAATTTTTCAAAATAATGTTATCGATTTTATCAAGGATTGGACGTCTAGAGCGCGATACATCTTTACTATTAAAGCTTCGATCTTCACGGTAAAAACTACGAATTTTTTCCCAAGCCTGTAAACCATTATCGCCTTGGTCGCAATGATATTGTAAAATATAACAAAGTCTTTTTGTAGAAGTTTACCTCATTTTAAAAGCGCGATTACCTTCGACTAAACGAACATAAAGGTTTGCGGTAAGAAACTTCGGAGACCCTATAAATTATGTATGTTCCTGATCACTTTCAAATTCAATCAATGAATCAATTAAGGCATTTGCGTTTTTCCATCCAAAGATAACTCATGTGTCGAGATGCTTTGTAAATAATTTCCCGGCAAAATTGTCGAAAGTTCGTACAGGCAGGACACGTCTGAATGGACAACATCTTTGTTTTTAAAAGCAAAAAAACTTTTGCTTTTTCGCTCATTAACTGTAAGCTACAACAGATATAAAAGTAACAACAAGAAGAAAATAATATTCCGCTAGAGGCGACTCTTCTCACATACTACCTTTCTGTAGAAATGTTTATTGATGTGCTTTACAAGTAATGAATGTCTCCGTGGAAATGGGAAAAATTTAGCATCAGGCTATCGTGAAATAGTTTTTGCTGACAGGCAATATCCCTACATCTCTTGAAGACAAGTTAGACACTGCGTACACAGATTTAACTTTGACCAACAAAATTGAAACGTGGACGTACCAGCTTCAGCGACAATGGACATACGAGACAATCAAACAATGTATCTGAGAGAACACGTTCAAGAAACGTGTTCATTACACTTTGAATCAAGATTTGGGCATTAGAAAGTTGACCAAACGTCGACTCGCCCTGTCGCATTTGCCTACAGTGGAGCAAAATCACCGAGCCCTAAGTTGAAGACTGCAATGACAAAACAGCATGACTGAAAATTCGAGTTTATGAATTCTAAAAATTCTTAAGGGCATTCGCGGAAACCAACCCCATTTTGGAGTGTCATACTTAATCGTCGTGACAAAAAAGTATCGAAATGTATCGTTGCTGAAAAGTACAAGAACGTCTTGTTTCGTCTTAAGCCGAAAATTTTTCAGACCAGCTTTACATCTTTTAAAATGTTGTTAAATATTCAAACGCCTTCACTTTTTTAGCATTATAATCAAATCAGTGAAATTGAGAACTAATCTGCCTTCATTCACAATTTTGCTCTTACATTCATTAGCTACCAGGGTAATCACAACTGCTAGTTTTGACCTTAGCGCTATGTGAGATTAAAACTTTTATGCTGTGTTTCATCATAATTTAAAAAAAGAACAAGTAAGAAAATTATGTTCGCTGGTGAACGAGTCTGGACCCATCAGTGTTATCCTAAAAAAGACTAAAAAAGTAAAAGAATTAAATTTTCATGCCCCATAGTATGAAGTGGTCGCTGATTTTCTCTATTTTTAAAATAAAAGTTTTTGTCGCACAGGCGCTTTAGGCTTTTCCGTGGAAAAGTTTAAGCCAGTTTCAAATTCTTGTACAAATTTTTAAGGGATATCTTCATTTTTGCAAATGGTAGACTGTTTACCATAGACTCTACAAAGTTGGGCAGATGGACGAACGGACAGGCGGACATGCTTAGCTGCATTCAAAATTTGAAGCTCGCCAAGAATTTATGTGCTTTATGGGGTTTTTAAAACTTGTTTTTGCGCCTTATGAAGGTATTGAAAAGAAATTAAATCTTGATACACTATAATATTAAGTAGGCGTACTCAACTTTTTGCATTTTTGTGAAATTGCTGCAGCATTACCAATGGAATGCATGTTTAAAATTTTGTACGTTTATCTACTATAGGTTATGAGTAATGAGGAAAAAATCAATTTTATATTCCTTTTGAAAAGAAGGTGTTCTTAGTTTACGTAGAGCTGTGGGCTGGTCCTTTGACCGATTTTGCCCAATTTCAATGCCAACATGTGTGGAAGAACTTCCAATGTTCCAACTAAATTTGAAGTCAATAGCTACATTTTTGCAGGCTGGAGAATATTTGGAGCAGGCATTACACAGACGGATGGATGGACAGCTGGTTAGACAGAAATATCGAAATCGAAGTCTGAGTTTGGTGCTGTTTAAGAATATATGATGTTTGTTCAGCCAAGACATGATGGCAAAATGAATATACCTGCCATCCTTTCGAGATGGGTATAAAAGAAGAGCAGCTAATATATAAGGAATCGGTACATTTTTGACTAACTCAGCTACTATTGTGTATTTCTGGTATAATCATAAAATAAATTGACTTAGCTGAGAGTTGTTGCTAAGCATGACAGAATTTATGGGGGCAGAGGAGCTTGCCGTAATGATTAAATAGTGCATCAAACATTTGTTGATAGGATGCGAAAGTATTCTATATAAGTAAACGAAAGTTGAATTTGCAAAAAAAATCAGTTCAAAATTTGTAACGCAATATGAGTTTAAGATGCAATATTAATTTGAATTAATTTGTTCCCATAACCACAAACTAAATTAATTTCTGCTATTCTTCTATTTGCTCTTGCCTTTTTTTACACATTTTCTTCTTCGTTACTTTTTCTATTTACTTTTCATTGCAGAACAATAACTTCCATTTTGCCATTCGCAAAGAACAATCATTGTATATATCTAGACTGAGAGAGAGAGAAGGAGAGAGGAAAAGTAACAAATCCATGTGGCTTGCAAGTCTGACTGATGATTTGGACAATCTTCCCATACCCCACATAATTGCCTTTATTTCAATTATTTACTGTAAATATACAACGCGCATAAATGTTCTTGACCAAGTGTACATAAACTGTTATATCTTCCCTTTAATGCCTGCGAAGGTGTAAATACTGCTTTCATTTAAAAAAGATTTCGTTAAATTTTTTATGAAAAAAGGAATATCGCCTATTTATGTAAACCCGGTGTATTTATAATAGTTCACAGCACTTTAGCACACTGCTAGTAATAGAAAAAAATAAAACAAAAAAACATTAAAAAGATAATACTACACTAAAAGAAAGAATTTAAATTTTGCACACATTTTAGGTAAAATTTTATTTTGCTAGCAATAAATATGTCTTACCGTCGAACTTAAAATCAATAGAGAATAAAGGGAGGAATAGATATGTGCATGTTTAGGACACTCCTGGTACTACAGGCGACATAAATAATTCAGCATAAATTTGGTGCAAGGGCAAGACTGATAGGCGCAGCATCACAGAGCCATCACATTTTTCTTTACTACACAACAGAATTCCTATTAGCGACTTTTATTTTCATAATTGCATTGAACTATGAAACGTACAATTTATAATAGAAGCTATGACAAGAAAACACATAATTTTCTTACATATGTCGAGATGCAAGTCTATATGAGCAGTGGTTGAAAAAGTGGCCCAATCCCAGCCGTTTGAACACCGTTAGTTCTTGTACCAAAGCACCGGATTTTCTCAAAATATCTCTAAAATTGCGGTCGCTAGGTTGAACACAAAAATCGCACGGACAAGTTTAGATTAATTCATAAAATAATTCTGTGCCCATCGGTACAATAAAAAGTGAGTCCATCCCAACCACTTCTGTTTGTTGTATACATCCGCACAAGCTTAATGCTATTTGTTTATTTATTTATTCATTTCATTTGACAATTACACTTTTAGCCATATCAAGCAACACTCTTATAGCTGCTAAGGAGCTCAAATGATGATCGAACGCACAGCAAAGTTAACAGTTTTCAGTACTCAAAGTAGGCAAGGCAAACATAAGTCTATGTAACATAATTACATAGTCACTTATAACGTATGGTTTACCGCACTGAGGTACGAATGTGCGATCACCGACTTGGCAGCCACGCGTTTATCCACTGCATCATGCCGTAGCCTTATCTTATTGTTTTCTAAGTTGTTCCGTCTATTGAAATCGTCACGATTAAAAAATAAGTTTATAGTTCTTTATATCCTTGCTCGTGGAGTTCGAACTTCACCTTAACGCATAGCGAAAGATTTCAATTTCGTAAGCGTGAACATTATTGTTTTCTCACCACAATTTTCAGACTCTGTAAAGTTTAATGTAATTAAAATACGTGGCAATTATGAACATATAATCCGTCTCTTTGCTCAGAATTAGGTTGACTTGATTCGATTCGTATGTAATTGTTTCCAAAATGATTTTCTTTTTTTTCACTTCTTCCTCCGCAATTCATTCCAATACACTGACTGACCTGTTTTTTTCCGTTTTTCTTTTAAGATTATAAAGGTAAATACAGTCTCGTAAGCTTAAAATTGCTCGTAATTTTTTTGCAAATCTATCAATTCATAAAAGCAAACTTTCAACGATTTTTTTATATTTTTGGACATAATTGAAAATGAAAAATAAGAAGAGGCAATATTATATATCAAGTGAAAGCGTATAGTAGTTTTAATATATTAATTTAAAAGAAATTGACCTTGGTTTTAGCCAAAGAATTCCTTGGTTTTTCGAAATAATCTCCCAAGAATTACCTATAAAACGGCTATATAAAGCGGCTACACTCAGAAATTAAATTAAATTTATCTGAATGAATTGCATCCATAGTGATGACAGCTGTTTATGGTGTTTGTTTATTTCCAACAATGGTAAATAAAATTTAAAATTATAATTAAATAGCATTTTATTTGCATAAATAGTTAACAATTTTTAATCATATAATGCACACTTCAACGAAATACAGGTAAAGTGCGCTTTTATTTAAGGAGATGAAAAAATCTCTCATAAAATTTCATACTGGAACGGTTTAATTTATAATCACCTAAAATACACCGATCATTGCACATACATATGTTGCAATTACTGAATCGCTTGTCACTTTTTAATAATTCCTACTTATTTCTGAACTCTAAGGTAAATCAAAATCTATACATACTTTCACATCCAGACTACTTTTCGATGCTCATCATTTATCATCGCTCAGTTCCTTAGCAATGGCGGACGTCTTGTTGCACATTATTGATTAATTCTAACCTTGACAGTGTCTTACGGAAACTTATGTACGCAGCAACACACTACAATTGAGGGAATTCTGTTGAGAATTATGTTGAGAAATTGATTTCTATTGCTAATATAAATTTTTGCATGTAGCACTTAATATGAAAACATGAATCTCACCCGGCTGGCTAACTTAACTTCAATGTGTTACTAAAGAAAACAATGTAATGAAAAATATTTGTCGGCAAAAGCGGTGTGCATTTCGTGGGTGTTTGCAAGCAAATTCCAATCATTTTCAAAGATAATATATAAGAATTAGCTAATATCGTGCGTACATCAAATTCTTGCACTCTATCTTCCCCCCAATTCTATATCAATAATGGACGGATGGACTGAGAAGCTAATATGCTTAAATTTGCCTACTATATCAAACGGACTGAAATGTCTGAAATTTACAATAAAAGAGATAAAATTAATATCTATCGATTTTTCGTAGGTACGTATATAACTTTATTTATGTATATATTTATATAAATGTATTTAATTAAAAATTTATGCTAATTAAATAGAAATATATGAAAACTTGAAAATTTATGTATATACGTATATATATAGGCTTGTAAACTGTGAATAAATTAAAACGAATTAAAGAAATAACAAAACTTTATTTGAATTCAATGTTATTTTTTAATGAAAAGAGCAAACGAATACTTGCAAGTAAGTATAAGCCTCCTTTGCACATAATAAGTACATGAATCTATGAATTGTTGAGTTCTCACAGAATACTATAATTTAAAATAATCATTTAATTTTCGCATAACTGAATCTAATAATACATTAGTGATATGCACATTATGATTTTACTAATTTATACATTAATGATTTGCCCTCGGTGATTAAATCCAGACAGATCTTGATGTATGCTGATGATGCTTTTCCGTAGAATTGCAATCACATCAGCTCTTAATTGACTTGTTTGAGTAGTGCTCGTTGAATCTTATGAAACTAAATCTAAATAAATGTACGAAGCTTTCATTCTCAAGAAGAAAGTCATTCATTACTTGGTATTTCGTTGATTCCCAAAAGTTGGAGGACGTTGATTCGTTCACAGATTTAGGCGTTCTATTTGATCATAGATTACGTTTCAACTTGCATATTGAGCCCTCGTTAAACAGCGCTAGGTCCGAGCGTGGTTTTGTAAAGAGGTGGTCTAAAAAGCTAGACAATCCTTACATTACGGAAAAGCTGTACATGTGTTTGGTTAGACCTATACTCGATTTTGCCTCTGTTGTGTGGTCTCCTTAATATAGGTGCTATATAAATTCAACCGAATCTGTTCAAAAGCAATTTTTGCTGTTTGCCCTTAGGAATTTGGGTTGGGACCCCATTGCCTCTCTTCCCCCCTATGAAAATAGGTTGCTTCTGTTGTCCTTACCGTCTCTCAAGAAAGAAAGGTTTGTTCTTGGGCTTTCCTTCTTAATCAAAGTCATAAATGTTACTATTGACTCGCCCACATTACTTGGTGAGATAAGCTTTGATGCTCCTAACCGCTTCTCTAGGCACTTTATCTTGGTTAAACTTAGTCAATGTAAATAAAATTATGAGCCCTTTAATCCTCTCAGACTTGTTTGCAGAATCCTAAATGATGTCTATCACTTAGTTTCATTATCGGACTCTTTCAAGTCTATTAAAGCAGCTTTGCTTAATACGCGCGATTTACCTATGTCGTACTTAAACTAACTTGCATTCCTAATATCTCGTTTTTTTTTTATTTCGAAAATTATATTGTGTTGTTAGCGTATCGGTTGCCAAGCTTATGCATGTTTGCAATGGTTTAGGGGTTCACTTTCAACCTGCATCTATTATTGTTGCGGGTATGCTTCTGTGCTAGCTGCGCACATGTTTTTTTTTATCTTTTTATTTATTTATACATGATTTTTAACTCAGTTTGCTTTTATTATTTTTCTTCTTTCATATCCTTCTTAATTAGTATTAGTTCACTATTAAGATGTACTGAATTCGACTGTAATTTTCTTTCATGTATAAGTAACTAAAATAAAATAAAGTAAAATAAAATGAAAATAATCATATCCATCAGTGCTAGTAGGCTCAATACTTTTTAGATTGCTTATGATTATTTATACGCACATTGCATACATTTTAGCAGTTACCGATTTATCAAACCTATCTGCAACGTAAACAGGTGGAAGGAGGTGTTCTCTCTTCTGCTTTATATTGTACCAGTACAGCAGAAATGCAATATGCACCTAAAAGTTTTAGTGCCACGTTTTAGGTTAACAGCTTTTGTAGACAGTATACTAAAATTTTCGTCTATTGCAAAACTCTCTCTAATTGGGTTATTCATCTGATCTGATTCGGTCTCATCTGTAGCTATCAACTAGCTTTCGATCAGCTTTCAGTGGCAGTTATGGCGTTCGCCATACTCCACCTTCCCCTATCTACTCCCTCAACACTTAATTTTATGCTGGAGACCGCAAAAAGTGTTGCCAAGCAACGCGAAGGTAGAAACAATAGACGGTATCGCAATCGAAAAAAAGTGAACGGTACATATGTTTCACTCGAGCAATGGTAAAATCGGTCTTCTCGTCTTTTAGTGGCTTTCGGTATCTTCACGTTTAAGCATAAACTTGAGAACTTCAAAAAAGATGACTTATATTATTCTATAACAACACAGTATCGTGCGGCGGTATACAGAGAAAATACTTGGAAATTGAAAGGAACTAGAGAAGAAAAGTGTATGAGGAATGGAAGGAAAAATAGGTAGGCGAATAAAACAACTTTTTGCTTTTTCGATAAACTACGTTAGGTTGCAGCGAAAGAGGTTTCTAAGACACTTGAACGATAAGAATAATTTGTCGCATTAAAGCGATGTATTAATAATTCGCTTTAAAGAGGCTTCAGTTTGCAAACTAGCGTCATTAATTTCCTTCAATTTGTTATTTTGGCAATATCTGTCCTAGATGAAGATTGAAAAGCCACTATATACTGGATCTACCATTTTAAAATTATTTACTTTTGTTTTTTAAATTATATTTTAGTGAATTTTTTAAGGTTATGTAATTTCTTTGTACTTATTTGAACATCGCATCTGTTGCTTATTTTAGCCCCACTTGGGTGACAATAATCTCTGTTATTTTCTTTGCTTTGCTTGTTGCCTTTGCTTCAGAATACCAAACTTGAAGCGAATTGACCCAAAAACACGCTGATAAACCAACACAAGCAGGATTTTATGAATGCAAGTCCAAATGTAATATACTTGGTTTGCTGAGCGTAGGCGTGTAGGCGTCTCAGTTACTTTTACATTAAACTTTTAAATAGTCCTGGAATCCTTTAAAACACTATCTGCCTTGAAACCGAACAGACAATAGTCGCGACTACCAAGACAGTGTTTGCGGGTACAAATCTCAGTGCGATAGATCATAATTGGTCACAAATATAGTGAACGCTTAGTGGCAGTCATCCATTACGTTGCGGCCACTTGCTGTCTCTTTCCTTTTCCCTACATTTTTTTCTAACCACTAACATGATGCACGTATTGAGGCCCCAGCTGGGTGATTGCTCACATTAAAAAAAGGGACTTGGATACTTACACAAACTTTTAAAGAATGCAAGTTACACTTTTTATCTATGTTATTATTATTATTATTATTATTATTTTAATTTTAGACTAATGAAATGAATTCTTAGACTAAAAAAAAGATATTGAGCACTAGCAACACAGGCTATCGGCTCTAATTATAAAAAAGAATAATAAAATGTACATTAGATAATGAGCTTAGTAGTATTAATAAAGCAATGTATAGAATTGATATTCTGTTCTGAAGCTGATTGTAGAATGTTCAAAGGGTTAATCGTTCCAAATGCAATACTTCTAGTCAAGGAAAAGTTGAGGCAGTCGCAGAGAATGTGCTTTATAGTAAGAGTTCGTCCACAACTGCAGATTGGGGAAGAAGACTTCTTTAGGATCCATTGGTGAGTTGCAATTGTATGACCAAGGCGAATTCTCGAGAATGTTTGGATCTTGGTTTTCTCAACATTTGTTGGATATAGAGGTGGAGTTAATTGAGGGTTAATGCAAGAGTAGTATTGATGATGGTATTGTAAATTTCCTTCTGCAATTTTCTCTTTAACTTTTCTTCCAATGTATGTTTGAAGATCCAACCTTTCCATGACTTCATCCATAATTAGAGGAGCAGAAGCAGCATACTTTGCCGCTCGATCAGCCTGCTCATTTCCCAGTATTATCTATGTTAAATGTGCTTTTGTAGTGTGAATTTGTCGCCGGCGATACCGAATAAGCATGTATAATACATGTGAAGTGTAAGGTTTCTATCTTCATTTTGGCGATTATGAATATTTCAAAAACAAATGAATGAACGTAGGAAAGAATTATGCTCATAAGCAGGTAGGTAAGAGCATTGTTACGGTTATGGTTTCGGTACTTTTTATAGTCTACGCCACTTGTGACACAAGAATATCTTTAGTTTTTGCGGATGTATGCAGCACACATCAGGGCTCGGAATAGACCCACTTTTCATTGTACCGATCGATTCAAAACCACTTTTTGTGTCACCTGTTGAAAAACCGCTTGTTGAAGAATCACTTTCTAAATCGATCTAAGCTTGTCTACGTGTCCATTTTATATTCCATTATTCAGCGTGCAGGTCGAAGTTTTCGAGATATGCTAATGAAAATTGATGCACTTACCTGTTTTAGCCCATGGGAGCAAGATATATTGAAAGTGATTCGGGTCGTAGCATTTTTAGACAATTTTCCATATAACGGTGTTGTTAAGAGATGTTAATATAAGTAACTCTACTAAGCAAAGTAGTTTAGGGTATTTCATGGCGGCTGCAGTCCTCTATAAAAATTTTTATTTGCGTTTTATTAAAAATTCTGTTCAATTTATCTGTTTTGATTATGTTCTTTGTACATCGGTTTTTGCAAATTTTTGTTAGAAATACACTTCAATTTATTGCAATCCTTATAAAAAGTAAAGGAAGAAATATATTTCATATAATTGCAGTTGCACTATATGATAAAAATAATTATTTTTTTTAGTGAAATTTTGAAAGAAAATAATTTTTGAAATATAAAAGCAACTTTTTTGACTACATTTTTTCAAAAATAATTTTGCATCGAGCATTCAAGTCGTACAGGATCAAACAAACATTTTATATGCGTTCAGCTTTGCACAAATCGTTTTGTGTATGAGCGAGTTTGAGTCGGTGCAAAAGCCGAGGCTTCTTTTATGTGAATCAGACATCAGGCCGTGATGGGCCGG